GCCACAAGATGTCTCACTGCACAAGTGCAAATATGTTTTGGTAATATGCACAATCGTGCGATCGTACTATTCTATGTCTAGAATCTAGAATATATGTGGGATTTTCCAAGATGTGAAGGTCAAATATCAGTTACTTTCCATTTTTAAGCTACATTGACATTGGCTTTTGGGTGGATGGTAGGCACTTGGTTCCTCCACAACCGAGATTTATAGGGATGATAGGTGGTGGAATTTGTTTGGTAAGTTCAAAACTAAGCCCGCGCACCTTGCAAACGTACCAGTTGATGAACCAGAGGCATACTCCCCCTGTAGTTTGTAGCCTACCTACTTGCCTCCTTTCGGGCATGGCATATGGTGCGTCGATGTGAGGGAAGGTGGGCTGTATGAAGCACACCTTTGTGATTTCATTGAATTTGTTTGGCCAGGGCGATGACAAGAGAGAGGTGTGGCTTTGAAGTGCTTTGCGGACATTGCGCTGACGTGCTTTGAGATTGAATCTGCTGCATCAGCCACATGTTGGAACAAACATGCCAAAGATTGCAAAAAGCGGTCCGGCATTGAACACATGCAAACGTATTTTAAAAGCGGATAGCCTCAATATTTCTGCAGATATTTGCCTGGAAATCAGGCAATCACCGCACCTGGCGGGGAGCCTTCAGGCGAGCTGAGACCAGTCTCCACACGGGTTGGCAATGGGATATCCAGGGCTTTGGACGGAACGCTTTGGAGCTAGGGGCCATGGGTGTCTCGGATATCATAGATTCATAGGATATTCATGTTTTTATATATATATACACAGTAATATACAGTATTATATGTTTATTTTTTTATCTATATTCATATTAAATCATATTAAATCTAATTAATTGATTTTAGTGGGAATATGGGGAGCCAGGGAGCTCCTGTGTCCAAACATGTCCACATGATACTTTATGGCTGAGGTCCCTCCTTGTTTCCTGCAAGTTGGGGTCCGAAGCAATATCCAGCCGACGATGTTGTGTTGCAAGTTGTTCTAGGAAGCATATGTACGCAATACGTGCTTGAACGATTTTGGACGTGCATTGACATGATACTACATGATCCTTATAGGTGTGGCATGTGACTTGTCCATTCACTCAAACTGCAAGCAGCTCGTGGCTGCAGGGGATGGCGGCACAGCGCTGGATGTGACTTGGTTTTCTTGCTGCTGAATCGTCGGAATGCGGTATCGGATGATGCATTGTTTTAAAAGTTGGTTGTCGTTTTGCAAGGTGTTATTTTCTATATCAACGTGTTGATGTTCAATCCTCTTACTTTGACGAAATTGAATCGACACATGATTCAATTAATTCAATGCTTTGGGTTTAACTAATCTAGAATTATGATGAATTATGTAAGAAACACGATTGCGTGTTTGTAAGTTTGCTGATTCATTATGTGTTGATACATTGTATCGCATTCTCGTCCAATTTTCCAAGTGCAAAGATGTGTCAAAGGGTGTGTGGCTCATACACCAGGTTGATGCTGAAGCTGAGAACTTGCCAGAGCCTTGCGCGCAGCCAGGACCTCCAAACTGGGCCAAGAGCCCATAGGTTCCATATGGTTCCATCATCTTCCATCCCACTTTTGGTTTCGATCATCCCACTTTCTTGGCGCTTTTTTTACGCCCTGGGACGATCCCATTTGTGACTTTTTGAAACCACCAGAAATCCATGGAAGCAGCCTTTTGCCTGTTGCGTTAAGCCATGGCCACAATAAAATCTCAGCTTTGATGCTAAGGATCCCATGTAAGGGTCTCTCAATACCACTCGCTAGCTTGAATTGTGACGCTGTGACGCGCTGCCAGCTGCAAGGACACGATGCAGAGCCGACAAGTGAGCAGAAGCCACCATCGGAGTAAACAATAGGCATCATTTCTTCAAGGACTGTGCCTACACAAATTCCAGCCCTGCACAAATTGGAGTCACCAAGAAAACGCCCGAATTATGCAGGTGAACATATTTAGAGGGATGCTTGATTCATGTTTATATACCTAGACTTCGACCACATAGAATAAAGGTTTGTCGTCGCTGTAGGCCACTGTAGGCATTGCAATGACATAAATTACAATAAAATGCTTGTGAGGTTCCAGTGGTTCCAGTTTCTTCGGAAGTTATCCCCTAAAGATCCTCACATATCCTCAGAGGCTTGAGTCAGCTGAAAGTTCACCGCTATGTCTGCAGAAGCCTCCTGAATGGAATGTTTCACCCAGAAAAAAGAGCTGCTGCACCGGCTTTAAATAATCATAAGGAAAACTGTAGAACTCCTCAAGATTGCAGAGCTTGCGTTCCAGGTGTTTTTGTTGGACTAATTTTGCAGGCAAAAGATTCACCACATCATCAACATCAAGGACCAATGACCTGGAGGTTTCTTTGCTATGACCCCAGAAGTCAGGGTCCTGATCAGTGGTGAGGCTAGCTGCGGGGATCACAGGTCCTTTTTGGGGGGGCCTTGAGTATCTCATGTGTATCGATCTATTCGGAATCTATTCGGTGGCCAGGGCGATGAGGAAAGAACACATTGGATTGTCACTCTTGAAGTTGGCTTCTTCTCCCTTGTTTGTTGATTAGATTCCGGCACTAGGCCAAGTAACCTTGTGTATAGACTACCCAACTCTTTAGTTGTTTACTGAAACTACTTCTCACTTAAATTCATGGATTTGTTGTTACTCAAGTCCTCACATTTCTGTTGCTCAAATCCCCTATTTGTTCGATGAAACCTTCAATTACTTCCCAAGTTTGCGGAATCCGAGAGGAAGATAATCGAACCCTCCGAACAGAGCTGAAGAAGGCCAAAGCCTCAAAGTTTGGGCGGACCTGTGCCATGGTCAAAGCATCCGTTGTTCCCAAAATTAAAAAGGAATGCTCGGATGTTTATCCCCCCATCAATAGATATCTTTTCCGGCTTTTTGTGCGTTCATATAACTGCTACAAGGAAGCCCATTCAAGATAATGGGATGACAATGCCATGACGATGGCACATGTGTTGGACAATGTTGGACTAACTTCAGGATTTGGTGCCAGTGGGGGAAACTGCACATTTGGGTGTTCAGATCGTGGATAAATAGAGCGTGTAGGGTCAATAAATAGAGTTCTACACAATTTGGCAAGTTTGGCAATTTTGCCTGACTGGCAAGTTGGCCTTTTGCCTGACTTTGTCCCACGGGGTGACTTTGTCCAAAGGGGTGAATATCTTCAGCGATGTGAGTCATGGTATGGATTTGGGCACCAATATACTAAGGATTCTTTTCGGTACTCGACAAATTCATGGATTTTATGATTTTTATGGAGCCAAATGTGTGGAGAAACAAATTGTGGGGATATATCTTCACAGATGGGAGTTATGAACCATCTTTGTGTGATGGAGGCCCCGCAAAAGCGATGAGTGATGTTTTGAATGCGCAGTTTTCGGTGGACTCAAATTCAAGCACACTGCCATGGCGACAGCTGTCTGGGCGCCTGACTAGAATGCCAAAGAGGGCCCGTTCCGCTCCACCAGGCCAGAGCAAAGGGTGTTCTGCATGGACATAGCGGCCTCTATGAAAATAGGATACTCCAAAACCCTATGATTTCTCATTGAGTCATGTTCGTTACAGTACTGATCAGTACTGTAAATGTCGATACATGGAGGGTATGCCATGGTATGCCCTATTTTCAAACACATAATTTGTGGCAACTGGGATCATTCCGGGAGTCCGCTTGGGCAACTGGGCCGGGCTGATACCTGGTAGCATAACTCAAAAGTGCGGCAAGGTGGCACAGCCAAGATATACTGTATATATATATATATATACATATTGTATGTATATATGTTTTACACACATATAATATCATGTATATATATATATATCACACTGTACATAAATAAGTGCACACACATATATGATATACGCACAGTGCATGGGCTTTGCCAAGGCATTGCAGGTGAGAACATTGCGCAGGGTCAACATGGTTCGCGATAGCTCGCTGCCTGATCAGGTCACGAGAAGGTTCATAGATGTGATGTGTGGATCTTCATAGAAACTGGTCACCAGTCACCAGGTCAGTGGTTAGCGTTGTAAGCCACTTCTGAATGGTACAAGCAATGGACACTTTCAGTATCTCTCAGCTTTAGGCCTTTCGGGACTTGGAAACCAACAAGTCTGCGGTTGGTCCAGTCAATGGGAAAGGTTACTGTAGAACTTTGAACTTCACGATTTGTGTGGTATACTGAGATATACTGAGTATGTTGCTGCTTATGCAGGTGTATGCCCCAAACTGGTGGCGAAAGCGCTTTGGTTTTCGCCATGTTTTCCAGGCCACCGTAAGAATTGGATATTTGGATGATTCATGATGTTTCTTCCTAATAAACATTACACTAGCGACTCATTTGAAACTTTCCAAACGGCTCGAGTCTTGGCCGATTTGGATATGCATCCCAGTTGGCACTCGGAAGTTAACATCATGTAAGGGTATAGATTCTAGATAGGATAGACCCCAGTCGGTTTTAAGCTGTGTTTAGCTTGTTGCGATTCCTGGGTTCCACACCGTCAAGTACTGAAAGTGTCTGTGTGTGTGGGTGTTTTTCAGGAGTGGTCCTCAAAGCTATCCATTCAATGGCCCAGCTTTTCACATCACAGGATGTGGCCATCTCCTCCAAGATTCCACTGCGAGTCGTAGGAGGGGCCGGGGTCTGGCGGGAGAACTTGTGGAGACCATGAGTCGGGGGGCATTGGATCACGCTGTACACCCAGGGAATGCCATTTTTTGGATCAGGCATTTCAAGGATTACCCTCTGGTTATTTAACATAGCCATGGAAAATCACTATGTTTAATAGGTAAACCATCTATAAATGGGCCATTTTCCATGGCTATGTAAAATAACCAGATGGTGACACACTTTTTTCAGGAGTGGTACTCAAGAAACAACCTTCAAATGTGGGGATTTGGCAAAGTGGGCCTGCGTTCTATTGCGATGCTTTGGGCCAGACACCAAGAAGACCTTGGTGTAAGCATTCCGCTCACAGCAAAGACTGTACGGCAGTGCCCTGTTTCACTCTTCTGAGATGGATGAGTCGAAGGCCGCCCTGTGGTGGGCCACGATGGGCCACGATTCTCGGGTTGTTCGTTTACCCACCACCCGTAGGATTGAACAGAGGACTTTGCAAAGATGGGAACTTTCTTCACAGTACTGTACGACACATGCAGCATGTAAGAATACTTGCATTTTCAGAAAGGAATATCTATATATCTATAAGCCAGTAGTACCGTACCGCATCGTACCGCACAAGGCGGTGGCGGAAGTTTCAAAGATAGGAAACTATAGGAGAGGTGAGTTGTTGTGATGCATGGATGGCAGAGCGAACTGATGGACCGAAAGGTGGTTGGAGTTGTGCTTTATGGAATGGTTGCAGTGGTCACCTCACCCACAACTGCTGGATGTAGCGTGGCGTGTAGTTGTAACTGTAGCTGTAGTTGTAGTGTAGCGGTAGTTGTAGTTGTACTGTAGTGGAAATTGGTGTAGTACAGACAGTGTAGTTGTAGTTGTAGTTACACTACAGTGTAATTTAATTAGCGTATATTAGTGTAGTGTAGTGTGTAGTTGTAGTTGTAGTAGGCGTCGCGGTGGCGGTGGCGGTGGTGGTGGTGGGTGGTTGGTGGTGGGTGGTTGGGTGGTGGTGGTGGTGGTGGTGGTGGTGGTGGTTGTGGTGGTCGTGGTAGTGGTAGTAGTAGTAGTAGTAGTAGCAGCAGGAGGAGTAGTAGTAGTAGTAGTAGCAGGAGTAGGAGTAGGAGAAGGAGAAGGAGTAGGAGTAGTAGTAGTAGTAGGAGGAGGAGTAGTAGTAGTAGTATACAAGTTATGCAAGTGCAATACATAAGATAAGTTAAGGTATCTTCTTACCGGCTTGGGATGGGCAAGGGTACCCAGACTTGGGTTTGCTTGAGAATGTGATGTGGTTCTGCCATGGTTTCCGCGGAATGTTATTAAGCGAACCTCCATTGATTAACGTCCCAAATTCTCGCATTAATTCACATTCCATTTTTTCAATAATCTTCATCATAAAACAACAATCTCCAAATGATACTGATATTAGTGTTCGAGATATGAAGGGATTGCATTTATCAAATCACTATCGCCATATTGGAGCCGATTTGGGCCCGGTAAGCCGTGGGGTTGGAGGTGCGGGATGCGCAAAATCCCGCGGAGAAGATGCCTGAACAAGATAAGGCTCCGGAATGCTGCCAGCTGCCCTTTCTCTCTCAGATTTGAGGGTTTATATGTAACAGGAAAACTTTGGTATACGGTGGTAAACCATGATTTCTGAATTGATGTTACTTGTGCTTTTCCCCTTTCAGTCAATCCAAATCCATTGATTTTTCCAGGAACCGTCACCAGTATTGAGGGTTGGACCCTGAAATCCAGTGGATCGTCATAGTCCCCATGTTGAAAATGCAAGTAGTGATTTGTTCAGGATCTTTTGGGAGTCTTGTCTGAAATTAAGGCTTGACACAAGCCCTTGCACATCCCGAACACTCCATGAACAAGTGTGCCAACATTTATGTACTTACAACCAGGTAATTCAGGTAAGCTGGTTCTGCAGCACAGTCCTTGCAGGAAAGTGCATCTACTTCGTTCGAGACCCATTCCCCATCAGCAATTTCGAGTCGGGATCCCCAGATTTGTTGAGATGGTGTTACAGCCCAAGACGCTGGGCGATCAATCCCCCCTGGATTTGAGGTTTCCAGAAAATGGGGATCCTCACACTGGGACTTCAGTTTCCAGAGTTTTTACATTCAGAGCATTGTTGGTGATTTTCATTCATTTCCCCTTTGTGCACCCAAGAATGACATTCAAACCACTGAAGGGAATGGCGAAATCGAAGGTAATGGGTTCAAAAAATTGCCCGGAAGTAGTACCAGCAATCCAATCTGGCAGCCGGCACAGGAAGTTTGCCAATTTCTATTACATTCGCCGTTAAAAGACAGCACATCCTTTTAAAAAAACATTCCTCCCGAATGCTGAATCCAGCAAAAAAAAGCTGCTGTTTATATAGTATTGGATCTACGAATTTGTGGGTCCATGTAAAATTGTGTTGTTTTTTTCCTGGGAAAACTGGACATTCTGAAGCCAGGCGGTTGGGATGAATCAAGTCGCGGGCAGGCACAGGGCGGGGGTGAAAGAACTCTCAAGATTTATGGGTGTGTTTGAGCCTGCGGGACGGGCCCCTTAAAGCTGCAATTTTCATATAATATAATATAATATATATATATATTATAATAGTGAATTGTGATTCATAATCTATGATAGTGATTAATCATGACACTGGTACCAGTATTTTGGGGCTACTTTCCTGCTTGTAGCAGTATATGCAACATGTGGATATAGGTCCCTTTACATTTCCTGGTTACATGGTGCCTATAATGATGGAGGTACTATGCCATACAAGGCCATATTAATCTGGGTGAGATACCCTTACATGGACCTTACATTGACCTTTCATTTGAGTAGCTACCTCATTTTAGCTACCTGAAATGTATCATGCGACCACCACCTTCTGCCAGGGGAAACTGCGCGGTCTGCCATCGTTGAATCGTGGCTACCGCACCCCCGATCCATCTCCAAGCCATCTTCCAAAGTGCTGGGCTCTCAGCTATTAAATTGAGGTGATATTGGGACTGTAATGGGGTCACCCACAATCAGATTTTAATGTTCACCCACGATTATAAAACTCACCCTAAATATATAAAGCTAACCAACTCCCAAACTAAATAATAAATGACCCTAAATAAAGCTATTTTTTTTTGGCCCTAAACCCAAGATTTGCCCAGATGAATACTAAATCAATACTAAAACAATTGTTGGATTCCTTATTTTGTTTGGAAATTGCATTTTGTAATTCATTTTCAACTGTGGTAATTGAAAATCAATACTTACAAACAAGTTTGATGGTGGCTAGAAATCTATTTAGGGGCAAAGAGGGGGGGCCCTATTGATTAATCAGAGGTCAACATTTAGTGGCCTAGAATGGAGCAAAATTGGATGTAGAGGTGATATGGTAAGAAGATGTAATAAGGTCGTTTTCTAAACCTATGTTGAATTGTTGTCAGCTTTTCTGATGTAATTTTGGGTTTGGGTGTCTGGATTGGTGGAGCCCGACGCAACCGTGAATGATGCTCTTTCAATGGGAAATTCCGCCCAAGACGGTGACCAACGAAAGGAATCAAAGCCGGGCAGATGATGGTAGATAGATATCCCCAGAGATTTGCTCCATGCATAGGATTTGTTGGATTTTTTTTGGGTTTGTCACAATATTTTGGGAATCCCCCCAAGTTCCACGGTTTATCATGTGAGATTAAACGGCCACTTGCCTTGGGCGTATCCCCGTTCTCAGGTGGAGCACTAGAACTCATGATTGGCGTTCCTCGATGGGCAGTGTGTCATGCGGCGGCTGGATGGCTGCGGCAGTACTTGGATAGTTCCATTTTTATCCATGTTTGATGGCTTTTTGAGCAGGAGTAGTTGTTGTTAAATGTTGATGAGCTCCGGTGAACACAGATGTTGCTTTCTCAAAATGGCGACTACCACCAAATCATCCAAATTTAGATAATTATATATGGGTTTGCAACCCCTGGTATTGATTTTGGGGTATCATGGGTATGGGTATCACATGTTGAAATACAGCAAAATGTGCCAACTCTACAGGTAGCACACTGTGGCAGCGTATCTTCGGTCCCCATACAATCAGCTATACATACACATTTATGTGCATACAGTAGCAAACCCAAAAAAGATAGAGCAGTAAATCATCACTATTTATGGGATTTCACTCTTGATCTTTTTGTCGTTGCTGTATTGCATGCATACATTCCAGTAAGCACAGAAACAGACCCAGAGAGCTTGGAACCGCCATTTGCCACAGGAAAAGAGGTGGCCCGTAGGGAGAAGAAGGTAAACACACTATATATATTGGTGTTTCTACAAGGTGGTGGCCCCTGGTCAGGCATGTTGCTTTAGAAACTTCATTAACTATATATTTATGCAATATGATAGATACAGATAGATACAGTAGATGGACAAAAGATTCAATCCCTGCAGCCTGCAACACACACTATGTTGAACCCCCGCGCCCCCAAATCTCAATGTTTCAGCGCGCTCGTTAGCAAAAGTGATGTTGAGGGTTTGATTTCTTTCGCCCATTGGGGCTAATGCCCAGGCTGCATTAACATTGAACTTTGGGGGCGAAGGGGGTGTTTCGGATAGAAAAAGGTTTTGAATATGTTGTTCATCTACTGCCTCGCCATGTGATGTTTTCACATTTTGGCATCCAAACTCTATTGTAAAAACGTCTCTGTGCATGCTGCTGATGGTATTCCAAACTGCGCAAAACGTTGCCACTGCGCAAAACGTTGCCTTGTCACAGGTGCATGGAGCCTGCGTCTCGCATGCAATTTTTTTCAATTCCCTCATATATTCCAAAACGTGCAAAACAATAGAAAAAAATGGGATGCGAGACACAGGCTCCATGCACCTGTGACAAGGCAACATTTTGCGCAGTTTGGAATACCATCAGCAGCATGCACACAGACGTTTTTACAATAGAGTTTGGATGCCAAAATCCGAAAACATCAGAGGGCGAGACAGTAGATGGACAAAATATTCAAACCCTGCAACACACACTATGTTGAACCCCTGCACCCCCAAAGCTCAATGTTTCAGCGCGTGTGTTAGCAAAAAGTGATGTTGAGGGTTTGATTTCTTTCGTCCATTGGGGCTAATGCCCCCCAGGCTGCATCAACATTGAACTTTAGGGGCGAGGGGGGTGTTTCAGATAGAAAGGGTTTTAATATTTCGTCCATCTACAGTATACCACAGCATTAATAAACCAACTTCGCTATCGTTTGGCCGCTTGGCCCCAGCTTGCAATTTGTTCCTTTCCAAGATGAATCATTGGGATGGTTCGCGGTGTGTCGGTCAGGTGCTGGTGAAACCCCATTGGGTCACTCGCTGTGATTTTTTTTTCAGATATGCTGACTATGCTGAAATCACCAGATTCATTTCACAAATCGCCGTTTTTATTGGTCAATTTCCCAGCATTGCATTGGTTAAATTCTTTAGTTCCTTATTTTGTGTTCTATTCTCCAGATTAGGATTTTTTCCCCACCTGCCAGGTGAGGGTTGTTAGATTTTATGTCAGTTGCCTACTCCTGCCTCGTCCTCCTCGTCCTCCTCCTCCTCCTCTCCTCCTCTCCTCCTCTCCTCCTCTCCTCCTCCTCTCCTCCTCCTCCTCCTGTTGCTCCACTGCGATCCATGTCAGTGTGCCCTGCCGGACCTCAACCACGACCATCCACGTCAGTGTGCCCTGCCGGACCTCAACCACGACCCTCGACGCACAGTGTTCCCTGCCGGACCTCAACCGCGAGTATCCACGCCCAGTGTTCCCTGCCGGACCTCAACCACGACCATCCCCGCCCAGTGTTCCCTGCCGGACCTCAACCATGACCATCCACGCCCAGTGTTCCCTGCCGGACCTCAACCGCGAGTATCCACGCCAAGTGTTCCCTGCCGGACCTCATGTAGGAAGATAAAATGTCAGATAGAGTGCCAGAAGATTTGCCAGGTAGAATGCCAGAAGATATGCCAGAAGATATGCCAGATAGATATGCCAGAAGATATTCCAGAAGATATGCCAGATAGAATGCCAGATAGAATGCCAAAGATATGTCAGAATATATGCCAGAAGATATGCCAGATAGAATGCCAGAAGATATGTCAGATAGAATGCCAGAAGATATGCCAGATAGAATGCCAGAAGATTTGCCAGATAGAATGCCAGAAGATATGCCAAATAGAATGTCAGAAGATATGTCAGATAGAATGCCAGAAGATGTGCCAGTAAGAACATGTATAAATGTCATGGTGGGGATCACACGAAGTAAAGTAATTTGGTTTATTCAGCCTCCACTCCATGCTTGACAAAAAAAGTATTGGGTGACAAATCTGGTTTGATCTCGTGGTATCTGGATTTGTTTCTTTTTTGCTTACAGAAATCAGGGAATGACTGGGCATCATTGGGCATCACTGGGCATCTTGCAGGCTGAGGACGGCCTTTCTGACGCTCCAGGGTCGCCACGGAACTATGGCGTGGCCTGATAGGGCAGACAAGGAGGATGGTAGAAGGTACTCAATGCTAAAGCAAACCTCATATCGACTCATGGAAAATAGATTGGTTTAAGGGAAAGTCTAATGGAAACTGAAAACCATGTTTTTTTTTGTGTTTTTCATGTTTTTACGCACCAAATCTGAGGGACTACTGAAGGTTTTCTCTCAAACCAATCCATTGACTCATAGACTGGTAGATGAAGGATCAAGTCTGTGTGTGTCTGGAAATGGTGTACACCCTGGAAATTTGATTTGTTGTATTTGTGTGTGTGTCTGGTCAATTGCAGTTTGATAGGTAAAAATGGGGTGAGAGATTTTCAGGCATGATGGAATTGAGGATTGAGGGAATGATGTTCCAAAAAGGGCTGTTTCATGTTCATGTGAATGAATAAATTTGCCTAATTGGTCACCTATTTTTCTGGACTGTTGATCAGCAGTTGAATATTTCCACGTCAAAGAGGATGGGTGGCTTCACCGAAGGGTCTGCCCGAAGGGTCTACCGAGCCATTTTGGTGCTCTCCAACTACCTTTGCTAATTTAATCCCTTGTCGTCAATCAATCACAATTTTGCATAGACTCATAAGATCCATTACTGGCGGCGAAATCCACGTTTTTTCTTGCTTTAAACTTTAGATATCCTTGATATTCCCCGATATCCCCCAGCTTGCAAAAGTGAACACCGCACCATCGCATTCTCACCACTTGGCCTTCTGTTATCGACTGAGACACCGCGACGTCGAATTGAGACCGAGCCCTGGAATATGGCCACTTGGTGGTTGTTTTATATAATCGGTGGCGGCACGCAAAGTAGGTGATAACAATTACCATCCATCCAATGAACATGCACCCTGCCAGATAGGGGTTGGAAGACTACTTTCCTCTAAGCATAGGTGCTGAGCTAAGGGTGTTAGTTGGCAGATGGTAATTCATTCGAAGGGAATAACTTTTTCGTTCGTCTCGAATCACACCCAACATCACCATTCTCTTGGAGGGCCGTTTCTTGCTTGGGATCCCGTTCGATTTTGATGTTTTTGTTTTCAATAGCGGTTTTTGTTGTTGTTCTCCTTTTTCCAAGTGTGTTGCCGATAGAAAAACTACAGGAAGAAGAACGAGAAGTGCCTGCGTCTCCTGGCCTGTCACGAATCCGTACCCCATCACCGCTTTTGGATAGGCGCATCCGCGGGCAACTTTCGGTGGGGCAGTGTAGTTTGGACACTACAACAGCAAAGAGTACCTAGGAGCATCATATGGAATCATTGAATCTCACTAACTTGTTGAGATGGAGCAGCAGTAGCCATAAACTGCAACCGGTCAACATGGGCCCAAGATTGGGATCCGTCATCTCCACCGAGCATAGCACCATGGGGCGGATTGGACACACATGGAATCCCCCATAGCAACAGGTCCTATCACCTGATGGCGATTGCTTGAGAGGATCAACATGGCATGAAAACCACTGAGAATCCACAACGATTGCATCCCATGGCATCCCATGGCATCCCATGGCATCCCATGGCATCCCATGGCTGGCATCCCATGGCATCCCATGGCATCCCATGGCCCATCTCCTAATGAAGTCTGGATATCCTGGATATTTGAATACTTTCCGTTCAGACCATAATTAAATCTCTTACATATTTCCATTGAGACTGTGGATGTTTCATCCTCCCATCCCTTCATCTCGGTGCCAGATCCTGTGTGGCTTCTGTGTGTGGAGCCGAGTGGAGATCGGACACTGTGGATCGTTGGACAGAAAATGCAGCCCCAAAATCTAGGAAAGTAGCACATCGTACTCGAATAATTAGAGGATAAAAATGTGTGCATGTGTTTGGAATATGTTTGGAATATATGATAGTATATGTTTGAGAATTATATTTGTTCTGGGCTTGAGTGTGAAACTATTGAATCCCCAAATCCCATGCTTGGTGACGACATCTTTTTCATTGGATGGCCATGAATTGGGGTAGCACCTATTTTTACACAAACCAACTGATAGATTAATGACAGAAATGCACCTCTTCCTCCACATTCATGAGCCCCATGGGGTGTGAGTGAGAACCACAGGTTCTGGCGATGTTTTTTTTCAACAATCCAATTTTTGGGCTCTAGGTTTCAACCATCCCCTCAATCTGATATCTAAAAAATCACAACTTTCCAGAAAATTCCAAGTTGTGTTGGGTGAATCCATTGGGTTCAGTCCCAATGCCAATGCTCAGATCCCAATGCCGATTGATCCTTCGAGGCCGCCACCGCCAGCGTTACTTTGTGCACCCGGATATAGCGTCAGGGCCCCCGGAAACTGCTGGGCAGCAAGACATGGGGTCTCAGTTGAAACCGCTATAGACATCTATAGGCTAACATTGGATTGATAGCCGGGTAGATAATATTGAAATATTGGTTTGCATGCAGGAGTGAACTATCAATCATCACCACCCCCTTGGGCATGGTTTTCAGGGGGGGGACGTCAAAAATGTAAGTTACAATTTTGTAGGTACCCCCCATAGGGGTAAAATATTGTAACTTTGAGGCGCCAAATCCTGGGGGGGGTGGGGGGGGGGGTAGGGGGTGAAGAGGGGCCCTAGCGTCTACTTCAAGATCAGTAAGGCGTCTTCCCCAATGACAGCACTTGTTTTACTCAGCCTGTTGCCGGTCCGTGCTTGTCTACAGGGTTACTCTATATACCTCTTGAGCCTTGAAGGGCGCATATAAATGTGCTCAATACTCATGCATAGTACCTGGTAGGTATTAGGTCGAAACAAAAACACAGGCACAAATTCAAAAGCAATGAGTAGAGCACTACGCCTTGCCGTACCCAATTGGTATTAAGAGTATCTTCCTGACTTCTCTACACAATGGCAAATAGCAAAATAAACCGGAGTTACGCAGTGGCTTCGAATTGAAACACGTGAAAGCAGCGAATGTCCTAAGGACATGTCGAAAAAGAACAGCGGATTCGCTAATTTTTCCAGTAGCGACCAATGGTGCTTCGTGCACGGTCTCTCCATAGGCAAAATGCCTCGCTCTACCGGTGAAAGTTCGAATTGAAAAGTTCGGGTTCGCAAGATTCAGAAATTCAGGTCATACGAAAAACAATTGACCAAATCACGAAATAAACGGAAATAGCGGATCTCCAAAGTTGCTCATTCAAGCAAACAATGGACTGAAATCGAAGTTGGTAATTTTTGGAGTTCGCTCCATTCGGAGTGTTCTGCTCGCAGGATGGTCCATGGAGATAAATGTGTATAGTATCTCTATTTACAAGAGTATCTATTTTACATTAAATTGAAGTTCAGACACTTGTGGCATTATCTCTATCTAAAAGAGTATATGCCATCTGTGTGAAATAAGTTGATGCACAGAAAACTGTACACTGCCTCTCATGCTGTGTTATCTTCATTTAAAGAAGTGTACACTCACTTATAGCCAAAAGCTTGTTCTCCATGGTCTGGACGAAGAAGATGAGGATCCACCCCAACTTGCGTTGCCCTGATACGTTGATGCTTGATCTTCATATGCCTTTCTCTTTTTCTCCTTCTGTCTTTCCTTCCTTGTATCTGCATACTGCTTCTTCTTGAAGGAATGTTTGTAATGATGTCGTTTGTTCCATGACATATCAGAAGGATCAAGATGAATAAGAATCGGATTATGAGCATCACGATCATTTGGGGCAACCATGAAGATGTTGTGATCACCATGTAAGCAAGTTTCATTTACCTTGAAGTAAAATTCAGTTCATGCGATCTTCATCACCTTCAAAGTCGTCTAGGTGTTCCTGACACGTCAAATGTGAATGACCCCACTCAACAACTGTTAACATACAGCAATCACCTTTACCATTTGTCTTGTTCATGAGCTCTTCGGTGTATGTTGCTGTTGTAATGCCATCCAAGTGCGTTGCAAGAAAATCCAAGTCACAATAACTGCAAGAAATGAAATGCTTGACCCTAATTGGAGGGCAAGATGAATCAAAATACTTGCCCATGGCTTGTGTTGCAACACCTACCATTCTGTTAATCCAGAATTGGATTAGGCTGTGTTGATATGTAGGGACGCCTGGAGATTTTGGTGTGCTGTAATAGCATGCCTTGTTTCCATCACCTGCAATGAAGTCAACTTGATATCTGGCACACTCAAAAGCCATAACAGCTAAGCACTCACCAACAATCCCAGCAGAGTCTGATGCATACTTCTGTCCGACGTGATAAACGCACACACGTGCCATCCTCATCCTAGCTCTTGTCAAGTCAATAGTCTCATCTGTATCTCGGTCCTTTGTCTTTCCCCAAGATACTTCAAAGATTGCCCATGAGACTTGTCGAACTCGTGTGTCGTTGTCATCTGTGTGATATCCAGCAATTTGCTTGATATAGCCATCCTTTCCAAGGCGAGCTGCCACCATCAAGTCATGATAGTCATTGAAGCAAGTTTTAAAGTCAACCTCGTCGAGTCTTTCTCTGTGAGGATACAATGAACCAGCCTCGCAATTCATGAAAAGATGTCCTCCAAAGTTCTTGATGACATTGATGAAGTAATTGTTGAACTGTGATTTGTTTTCATCAAATTTTTCATGATCCTCATCGATAGTGTAGTCAATGTGTGGAATGAATTGTTGAAATCTTTCTGGAACCGGGCATTTTTCAAATCTGTTTCTGCACCAGTTTCCCAAATTCCAAAACATTGCTGTTATCTGTGGAGAGGATCTGTATGGAAATTCGGCATCCTTGTATGTTGGGTCTGATAGGCCTCCACCTAAATATCTGTAAGCCAAGCTATGCAAGATCATACAGTAAGGCAAGACCTTGTGGTCCTCAACGTAATCTTGGAGTACCCTTGTGAGATTTCCAAAATCGTCATCAATCCTCTTTTCTGCTTCTTTTGAGGATGATTCTGCCTTGTCTTGATGAAGAGGATGCATCCTAGGATCACTACAACCATATTCAATGTGCTGATTGAGTTCTTGTAGTTCTAGTTGTGGATTTTGATCCTTGTGTCTGGCAATGTACTCATTCATCAATTGGTCATCTGTTAGATGGTACCAATACTCTTGATGTGGAGACATAGTCTTCCTGTACTTGACATGCCAGAACATGTGTCGATGCTTCGAAGACGCTGGATAACCTTTGTTGTAAAATCCTGCCCATTCACCATGGTAACCATCTGAAAAACAATCCTTCAATTTTCGAAAAACTGAATCATCTTCGTTTCCAGTGATATCTTGACCATAGTAAAGTCGAATTGCAGGTTTCACTTCAGGAGCTGTTTCATCATCTTGAATGTCTGTCTTCTTCTCCCCTGATTCCTCCTTTTCTGAGGAGCGTTCAGGTGGAGCTGATTCCTCTTTCTCAAAAGAGCTTTCAGCTGGGACATGTGGCTCCTGTGTGTCTTTTTCTTCTTCTTCTTCTTCGACAACAATCTCCTCATCTTCATCTTCTTTCTCTTGTCGTTCTTCTTGTTTGACAAAACTGTCCTTGATCTTTTGTTGAACATTCTGATTGCACATACTGATCCATTTCAATGTACACTCAACCAATTTGTCATCATCAGTTTCCAAAATGATATGCTTGTCCTCAATGTTCAAACTTTCAATAGTGTGCTTGTACTCAGGATCACCAGCGCTCTGTCCTTGAAGATCTGGAAGAGGCGTGTTTGGATCATTGTCCACCATATCGGGATCCTCTGCTCCAAAGAAATTTTCTGCGCTGAGGTGCTCATTGTCCTTGAGAATCGTGTCAATATCCAGTTTGAACTCATGATACGTGTCGTAGGAGATCTCATAACCCATCATAGGTGCATACTGTTCCATAAATGTTGAAAAGGAAGCATCTGATAATGCCGACATCATCAACCATAATGAGAAGTAGCTTATGTCACCACGTTCAAGGGGTCGACCTCCTTCAAGATCATCAATTGGAAGGATTCTTTGGCCTGCGAGTGTAATATCATGTAGGATCCTCCTGTGCTCTGGTTTGAGTTGCCTGAATAAAAACAGTCCCTGTCGGTCTTCCAGATTTCTTCGAGGATTTGCATCTGGTAATATTTCATCTTCTTGTTGTGGATGTGTTTCCTCTCTTTCTTGAGAGCCTACACCTTCTTCCTCTCTTTCATGAGAGCCTGATGCCTTTTCCTCCTGCGGCCTAACAGAAACTTGTAGCCTTGGCAAAAACTCCAATTCATCTTCAGCATCATCATCATCGTGATCTTCCATGTCCACATTTTGTTGCTCTGATTCTGGGATGTGAGCAATCTTGTCCTTTCCTGCTACCCAGATGTAGCCATCGAGCTTTGTAGATGTGTGGAAGTCACCTGAACCACATTCCCTGACCTTTGTCCTTGCTCTTGCAGATTGATGGAATGCTTCATGCTGAAAGAATTGATTGTAGGCATGTTCAACAAAGAATCTGTAAGACTGGGCAGTCAACTCCTTTCTGCTATCCACAAATTGTCGAAGCTTGTTGAGAGCAAAGATGGTAAAATGGCAAAAGTTGGCAGGTGCTTCATCTTCATACAGATCGATTGCCATGATCATCATTTTTGTGGAAAACGAGAAATGCCGTTCAGGTTCTGGGATGACTGTTCTCTTGTTCGTGGGGACTGTAATTCCTTGGATAGTCATGTCATACCCACGAGTGCTCAACTCCAGTGCACCCAAAATGTTACCATCACGGTCTCTCTTTCTCTTGCAGAAATCTCCCCAGAGTTTGTTGTTCTCTCTAATGAACTTGTCAAGATGCTTGGTGTAAAAGACAAAGACTGCTTCTGAGAGATACTCCATGTCCTTCTGTATTGCTAAGTCTCTTTCGTATAGCAAGAACTTCTCTCTCCATTCGTCTCTGCTGATACTGAATCTGTCTTCCCAACCTGCTGGGGCAACTTGACCTCGCATCCAGTCTGTCCAATGTCGTCGACAAGAGTCCAAATAACCTTCCATGGCTGCACTGTTTCTTTCCTTATGGAAGTGTGCCAGCATGCGTCCAATCTCCCAAGCTCTTGTGAAGAGTAAGCATAGATGTCCTGTCCATGGTAACTTCTCCCAGTCTGCGCGAGTGATAGATTGTCTACGAAGTGCTATCTTTTGTGAAGAGAGTAGTAGGTTCCATTCACGTAGAACTATCACTTTTTCTCCTGAGGAGTTCTTGATGAGTTCACCGCTCTCTTCTCTTGCACAGACAATACCAGCCTCATACAGGACCCAGGGATTCGATGCAGAGATCGAACTTTCTGTAGCTTGCTCTACAATTGGATCTTCCAAATCATCTGGTGGATCTTCTGCTTCCCAGAGGTT